CACACGCGCCTCTGTCAAAGCCACTTGTCCTTTGTTGAAGAGCACTTGGTCCAGTGCCAGCCTTTCATCATTTGTCACCAATATCACCTAGGTAATGACCTCTTTCAACCAGTTACCATGACAACAGTAATTTGTATGGAAATCACGTCGCCCCGGCGGAGGAGGAGGAGGAGGCTGCTGCTGTCGGTAGAATCATACGTGGGGTGCAGGATGGACATAAGTGTGATATGTGATGATATCGAGAGATGTGTTCTTGCTCTTCACAGTTTCGTGTCGTCACGTTTGAATGTGCTGATGAGTGTATCTGCCAGCAGGGGGCACTGTGGAGACACGGGCAGCTCTGTGCTTTATCACAACCTGAACGTGGAGAGCACAACAAAGCTCGTGGCAATCAGGCAGTTGTCTTCCTATTCCAGGCAATTCTGCTGCCCTCCATTTATATAAGAGGGTCACTTGCACATCAGAAAGGTATCTGCTGTCCATCTGTTCTGCTCTCGCAGTCTGGGGGAAATGTAATCTTACACCATTATCTTTACATGTACAGCTCTGGGCGAAATGCAGACAAACTGAGACCGCAGTGCAGACATAAAGCCATCTCTTCCTTCACTCTGCATCTTCGACATTCTGCTGAGGTGACCGGGAGATCTCGACCACTGTATATCTAATTCAGGCTAAAGGACGCCAGTTTCTCCTCCAGTGAAACATTTCCTCCATCTCACAGGAACATGAAGCTCTCTATGAGCTAACTGGCCAATCAAACTCAAAACAATACAACATCCAGTGCGCAGCATGAGTCCAAGCCAAAGTGCTTTTACCTGTTGTGAACGTCCTCAGTCAGTGAAAAGCCATCAAGCTGCCTCTGAACTCTCCCCTGTGAACGCTTTCGTGCGTCTTTTAAATTTCAGCTAAAGCCGTGACAGTGGACGTGCACCGTGTGCACAATCCAGCAGAACCTCACAGTTAAAACAGTCCTAAATAAAAAGACAAAGGGCAGCTTCTGCCTCACACGAGTGCAGCGGCTGTTTGTGTCCAGGGCTCCTGACCGATGGTCGTTTGTACTCTTTCTCAGGCAAAGCTGCAGAAAAACAGAATTTATGCAGCAAAAATACAAAACGCCAAATTTATCCAATCACATTCAGCCCAAAATCCCACGCTTCAATCAACAACATCCAACATGTTCTATTTTATTGGATCATTTAAAAAATAATGTCACCAAATGACAGCAGATGCTGTCCGAGGTCATTTACTGTGCACGCATCCCATCCATGGATCCCACAGTAGTTACATAAACACGCAAACAACAGTAAACATTCAGATGTGTTCCCACAAAATACTCGGTTATGAGGAGAACAAACTTCACTACTGTAAACGTAATGAAGTGCAACCTGAATCCTCACAAACCAGGACATAACCGGGTATGGACGCAGCGCAGTGAGCCGTGTGGGCAGAGCACCGACAGCATTTGCAATCAAGAGGACATTTGTTCCTCACATCATTATCTTGTATGAATAACAGAGGTGTCGCTTTATAAAGAAGTGGTTACATTTTCTATTTTATGTACAGTAGGAAGGAGCTGAGGCACAGAGGCAGGCAGATGTAATGCTTGTAAAATTATAATATAAAGGTTCAGTCTCACAAACTGAACCTGATATTTGCAGGTTCCAACCAAAGGTCAGCTCAGGTCTGATCTCTAGGTTTAGCAGTAGCCTGTGGGGCACAGTGAGACGCAGGGAAGGGACAGCCACCCATGTGTGCATCACATGATGCTAATCTGGGCTTTTTTCTTTGGTAACATATCTTTTAATCAGATTCAGTAAAACACACAGCAAATAAAGTCTGTGCATTAAAACTTGGACACATTAATGTGGAACAGAAAGTTCCTTCTTTCATGGTTTATTAAAAGTACTGTCAGCCTGCGGGCGCACACCTCTATGCTCTCAAAATCTCATGTCGCCTCGTTTTCAAGTTATTGCGTTTGTAAGATTTTCAGAAAACTTGACGTCCGATCTTGAGGTCATAGATCTCGTCAGAGTTTTAATGCTGTGGTGCTGTTCTCCAGTTGGTGGATTCACACCACCTGACCATACTTCACGAGCCTCTGACGGCTGAGGGGTGACATGAAGTTCTGGTGTGAAAGAAACATGATTGCATTAGAAAAAGCAACAAGCCCAGGCTTATTGGACAATAACGTATTATGAACATAATGTTCAATACATCTTGCAGCTGTATGTACTAGAGATGGCACGATACCACTTTTTTATGTCCGATACCGATATCATAAATTTGGATATCTGCCGATACCGATATGAATCCGATATAGTGTTTTTAATCAATAAAACTGTTTTTTAAATATCTTGCTGCATTTTGTATAAGTTCATACTCAAGTTTAAAACAACAACTACACTAAAGCTATTCTGTTATACCTGTATGCAAAAAAAATATTTCATAGTTCAGCAATACTGATCAATCTAATAAACTTAAACCTACACCATCCTCCCTATTCTGGTATTTTAAAGAGTACTTAGCATAAATATTAAGCAACCTAACTAATAGGGTTCCAACTCCCAGCAACAACAAAAATAAATAAATAAAAAATAGGGAACCACCCCTCACGCTCCACCTCATGATGCTTAATCGACGTAATCAACCTTAATTTGATGCAGTGTGAAAAAAAATGCACAGAAATCAATTATTTTTCAAGAAATATTAAATAGATTCAACATCTTTCTTCAACAAAATTGCAGACTGCACAGATGGTACCTTCCCAAAGGAAAAAGTACTATAGCTTACTAGGGTATATATATTAGACTTAATAGTTACTATATACAGTAATTGACTTCTATTCATTTTACATCAAATTAAAACTTTGGGTGTCAGATAATTATTTATTAAAAGCTCGACATTTTAAATGAGAATAAGAAAGAAAAGTATGTCTTTGTGCCCCCTTTTCCCTGTTAATGCCCTATCGGCCCCCCTGGCTAAACTTTGCTAGATCCGCCCCTGCACAGTTACAGCCGTCAGCTACGTAGAAAAAGATCCTCGAGTAGAAAGTAATAATAAATAAATTCTAACAACAGCTGATCAAGCTTAAACGTGCTGCTGTTGTTCAGCCGCTGGTTTCCTCTTTCTGGTGCAAAGTGGGCCAAAAGCAAACAAGAGACACGGACTCGGACAGAAAAGCCGATCAGCTGATCATTAAGCAGTTTCATGATTGAAGCAGCAGCAGGAGAGGCAGTCGCTCCATATATCGCTCGTTAAGCTTAACGCAGGAATGCTTTACAAACATTCAGAGATGGACTTACACACTTGCTTTACTTCTCTCGGGATAACTTTGTCGGAGATGAAATGCCGGGTTGCTAGCGAAGCTCCACATGCTATCCAGACCACCGACAGGTCCCGCATGCCACAGCCGCTCTATCACGTGATGCATACTGCTCCGACGTGCTAACGTTCTGAGGTGAGTTACGGCGTGTTGCAAGTTTTGTGAGGTGCTTTCGTGATATTTAATGGATCAGATTACATTTTTTATTTTTCTCCGATATCCGATCCAGTAATTTAGGTCAGTATCGGACCGATACCGATACGTAATATCGGATCGGTCCATCTCTAGTATGTACTAAATGTTTTACTATAAACAGGCAAATGTGTTGGAAGGACACGTCTGCCGTGGATCAGACGAAGCCTTCCACTCAGTTTATGAGCACGTCTGGTTAGAATCAGCTGCTTTGTTGCTCCTGGCTTTGTTTCTATAAATACATGATATCATTTGTTATCTGTCATCTGGCTTTACAGATCATGTCAGAGACTATTCCAAATTCCTTTCAGCTCTGACAAGCAATCATCTACTTTCTCCACCAATCACAGAAGCTAATTTTATGCAGTGGGACACCTTCAAGAGCAATCGGAAGATGGAGTCTGTGTGCTGCACAGAGTTATACACCAAATCATTGCTACCATTGCTGCCCTTTCAAGTTAAACCTCAGTTACTCGTCTCCAACATCCACGAGCAGCTTTCATTACTTGATGAGGCATCGTGACTGAGGCTGAGGGGCTCATGATGGACTCGTGCAACTGAAAGCTACAAAAGGCTTGTTGAACGAAATCCACAAGAAGCAATTTTATTGCAAAACACATCTTTATTCCAAAGACAGCTCTGTATCGTCCCCAGCATCAGCTAGTGTCTTATGGGTGTTACTTGTTTCAACAATACGCATTCGTTACCTTAAATCTTTCTTCTGCATTTAGTTCTTACCTCAAAACAAATATCCAGTGAGCACACAAACACTGGTTTTACCTGTCCGTGAGCTTCTTGGCGAAGCCAAAGTCGGTCAGACGGATGTGTCCTTCGCTGTCCAGCAAGATGTTCTCAGGCTTCAGGTCTCGATACACAATTTCTTTGGAGTGGAGGTACTCAATGGCACAAACGATCTCAGAGGTATAGAAAAGGCCCGTGGCGTTGCTGAAGCGCCCACGGCTCCGTAAGTAGCTGAAGAGCTCGCCGCCCGGCACGTAGTCCATGAGCATATAGAGAAAACGTTCATCGTGGTGAGTCCAGAACCTGCCACGTAACAGACAGCAGGGTCAAACGTGCTGTTAGCTCAGGCTTACATTTAGCTTTTATCATCACTGTCTTGTTCAGTCCTACAAGTTCACTGCAGGGCAAAACTGTTAACGTCTAAATAAGTGGAGAGAATCACATCAGATGAGAAGCTGCATCATTCTGCGGCTCTTTTATGTCCCAGTGGTGTTTGGGCAGGCGTGCAGGAAGCTTTTCAGCTGGAGGGCACTTCAGATGAACGAGGACAAAAAAGCACCGTCACTGATGAAGATGGACGAGGCTGCTGGCCTCTCTGACCCTCACATACGTCTCAGCTCTACTCTTGCTTTCACAATTTGTCATTTCTATCCTTTATGTAACACAGAAAACACAACGCTCCCATGTTACACGCTAAAGAGTAAGCGTGTTTTCTTATGATGCTTTGGATGATTATTCACACCAAAACACATCGAAACTGAGAAATGTTCAAGTCAATTTTATTTTATTTATATAGGTTGAGATCACAACAACAATCACCGCAAAGCGAACCATAACCCTGTTTGTGAAGGAGTTTCAATTCAACTCTGGATTTAACAGGAAGCCAGCAAAGAGAATGTGACAGAAACATTGCCTCTCTGCTAGTCCCTCATCATCTACACTGCCTGTAATGAAGCATGTAAGTGTAAACCGACCTGGGCCTTGCACTGAACCCTGTGGAACTCCATAATTGACCTCAGTGTGTGAACTACTCTTTCAAGGATGTTTGATATAAAGGAAGGAGATTAGCCTGTAATTAGCTAAGACTGCTGGGTCTAGAGATGCTTTTTGAGTAAAGGTTTAACTACAGCCAGCTTAAAAGTTTGTGGTACACAGCTGATCATTAGAGATAGGTTGATCACATTTACAACTGGACTACGAGCCCCCATGTGTTTGCAGATGAGACTGTGAAGAGCACTCACAGTCTGATGAGAAAGGAGTGGTTGACCTCGCTCAGCACCTCCTTCTCGTTGTGGACGTGCTGCTCCTGCTTCAGTCGGATCACGTCAGGGATCTTCATCTGCTTCAGGGCAAAGAAGGCCCTGCTCTTTTTGTCCTTGACCAGGAAGACCCGTCCAAAAGTCCCCGTGCCTAAAGTGGGAGAAACAGGGGGAAGTAGGGGGTCACACAGGGGAACTTGACCATGACAAAGGATTGTTTATCAAGCAGGAGTAATCATCAGCCTGGAACCAAGGCCGTCCTGGTGCCAGGCAGGCGCAGCTCAGGCAGGCGCAGCTCAGGCAGGCGCAGCTCAGGCAGGCGCAGCTCAGGCAGGCGCAGCTCAGGCAGGCGCAGCTCAGGCAGGCGCATCTTCCCAGCGTGTTGTGGCTGTTTTTAGCTGCA